CAGGTCCAGATTTTGGCACTGACCCGGGTCCCAGTCCAAACCAAGAGCGGCTCTCCAGACATGGGGAAACCCTCATGTCTCTAACCGGGTCGGGCACGGCTCCTCAGAACCTGGATCTGTTGGATCTCGGCAGTTTAACCCTTTCAGTTCTGGTCCAGACTGCAAAGATTCTCCGTTTGTTTTCTGCAGCTTCCTGCCTCACAGAGAAAACTAGAACAGGATCTTTAGGATGAACATTTCCTCAGCAGCTGTTTCACTGGTTTGCATGCCTTCAACAGGGAAACTGTCAGGAAATGCCACATTTTGTAGAGCAGTGCAGCAGAGCGTGTACAGAACTCTATTTTTAAGACTTGTCGTCTCATAGAAGGTTTCATCTATGAGGACGGCAGATTTATCATAATTTATGTTTGTTTTTCTCCTTTTGTTCTTTCAGTTTCTTCTTAGGCTGATTTTTGTAATGCTTGATCTTGTTGCTGTCCCACATGGAGGGAAGGGTTCGGTTCGGTTCTGGGATTATTGTAATTGTCTTCTAGTGATGATTCTAAATAAATAGAAAATAAAGAGCCTTTGGGTTATGCTGATGTTTTCTGTTCCAAACCAGTTTCCTCAGACGCGGCTGCAGAGCAGTGAGGGTGACTCTGCATCAGAACCAACAGCTGCATGAAACACAGTGATGACCCATTCTATGCTCTTTGGTTCTGTTTAACACTTTATTTCTTTGCCATCTTTGCTGTTAAACAGCCACACCCAATGTCAGCCATTAATAAGCCCGTTGGTCGCCACTGATAGCCAATGAACTGTTAGCAAAGGTGAAGGAGAACAGGCATTTAAAGGGTTAAAAACAAATCACACAGCATTTCCCTATACGTCATAAATTCATAGCCCTTCCCCTTCAACCTTCTGGTGCTCGTGATGAAGAAGCCATGATGACCGTGTTTCCATGCAGACATTGAACGCAGCACAGATAATGACTGAAAATAAAGACGACATCGTCTGTGTTTCACAGAATAAATCTTATTTCTCAGCTTCCAGCCTTCTTCTCACCTTTTTTCACATTATGGGATTTTAAACATTTGGTTAAAGCACAGATTCCAGTGATGAGCGGATTAAAAATGGGATTATCATCTCGGATCAGATGTTATCTACATGTGTGAGTGAGAAACAGATCCAGAAAGGAGGCAGAGATCAGAACCCTGAACTGTTTGAACTGGTTCAGATTAGTGGATAAAAATCATTACTGGTCCATAAAGACGCCGACCAGCAGAACCAGTTTAAGGTCGGACATCCACCTCAACCCCTCCAGTTTGTGAAGACCAGATTATTGGGATGATGTGAAGCAGCTTCCTGTTTACTGATCAGAGGAGATCTGATTGGTTCACGTCGTTTTTTTTACATAAAGCTGAAACCAAACATGAAAGAAAGTTAAAGCAGCTTCTGGTTCTTCTGGTTCTGCTGCTTTCAGGGGGGGGGGGGTGCATCGCCATCAGTCCTCCTCTTTGGACGTCTCCATGACGACGGCCGCCTCCTCTTGGAAGCAGCGCCTGAAGAAGTTGAGCATGGACGTTAGCATGTAGCGCTCGCTCTTTACGCTGATGATGCGGTGACCTTCATCAGGGAAGATCTGGGCAGAAGGACCAAAATACCACGTTTATTCAAAGCTTCAATCAAAGTCAGAGTCGCTTCATCAGAGTCAGACGCTGAAATAATGAACATCTGCAGGAGGAGAGCCTCAGATTCACCTGCAGGGTGTAGCTAACGTTCAGCGCCGACAGCAGCTGGAGCAGCTCTGCTGAATGCTGGAAATGAACAGAAGCTGGAAGAGAAGAGATGCAGAGAGAGATTAGCCTGCAGAGGGTTATTCATTCATTAGTTAATTCATTCATTAGTTTATTCATTTATTCATTCATTCATTCATTCATTCATTCATTTTTTCAATTATTTATTCATTCATTTATTTATTTATTCATTCATTCATTTATTCATTAGTTAATTAATTAATTAATTCATTCATTCATTCATTCATTCATTTATTCATTAGTTAATTAATTCATTCATTAATTTGTTCATTCATTAGTTTATTAATTAATTCATTCATTCATTGGTTAATTAATTTATTCATTCATTAATTTATTCATTCATTCATTCATTTATTCATTCATTTATGTATTCATTCATTTATTCGTTCATTTATTCATTTGTTCATTTATTCATTCATTCATTCATTTATTAATTCATTCATTCAGGTTTACCCAGAAAAAACAAAGACTAAAAAAGGAACCAGCTGATTCATCCGTTCATATTTCCTTATTTTTTGCTCCGACTGTAAAATAAAAGATTTAGAATAAAACACTTAACTTAAGTTAATCAGAATAAAAAAACAAAGGAAATCACTTGATTAAACAGCAGACATTAAATAAACACATTAACCCACATATGGAGGAAAAGTAAACAAAAAGGAAACGCTGAATAAAAACTAAAATAAAATAAAAAGATAAATTAAACTAGTTTAAATGAGGCTGAAATGCTAAAATGTTTTTAATTATCTGATAAACTGATAAAAGTAAAAGATCATTTAAATTGTTTTTAAACCAGTTTGAGGAACAAAGATCTGGAAAACAGCAGAAACCAAACAGGAAACGATCCCAGAGGAAAACTCGATGGAAGGAAAACATCAACCGGACAGGAAACCTGGATTCTGCAGAACAACAGGAGACCAGGACCAAGAACTGTGCAACCATTGGTCTCACCGTCCGCCGTGCCGTGGACAATCAGGAAGTCCCATGGACTCGCCGCGTTGACGTCCCTCAGGAGACCGGAGATCTGCCGCAGACAGAGAACCTCTCAGCAGGATCTGCTTCTGGTGGAGCTCCCAACTTCTGCTTCCCTCTAATGAACCAGATTACATCCTCATCACAGACGCTGTGCTCCGCCGCGCGTAAAGATGGCGTCTTTATTGAAACGGTGAGGAACATCATCAGAGATGCTGTCAGTGATCAGACGACCACATCAGCAGAGCTAGCTTAGGCTGCTATATGCTGGGTTTAACGCGTTTCTCCAGATAATTCAAAGATTAAACTGATCAGACTCTTTATTTGATGATAAGATCTGCAGACATAATGTCAACCATCAGCAGACTTCCTTTAACTTTACAGCAATATCTTGTTTTCAGGACGCCATATTTCCAGGTCTATAACCAAACCAGCTGTGAAACACGGAGCTTTAAAAGCTTTCAGACTTTCTATGGAGTTTGAGGACGGCTGGTTTATGAAATATGTCAGGAACTTTGTATAAATCGCATCCAATAACAGCAACTTTCTCTGTATGTCGTTTAAAGGAAAAGTCGCTCATATTCAGAATTCAAACGTCTGAAAGTTCTTTAAATCTGAAATGATTCCATCCTGTTCAATAAATGATCAGTGTTTTTAATTCAGAGTAATTTTCATGTGAATGTGCTTTACTGGAGGCATCCATGTTTGTCAAAGAACACTACTGCCACCTACTGGTTAGTGACATTGTCACGGTGCGGTATCGGCTGTTGATCAAGTCCCAGTGCTGTATCTGGTGTTTGTCACAACGCGCTATTATCCAAGTCATCTTGAAAACATTCTTCTTCCAAATGTTGGCTACATATTACGGGTTTTTTCTCTGGCCAGAAGTTCGATGGCAAATCCTCCCTCTTCAAGTTGGCGATCCAACGACCAACCCGTCCGTGGAGGATCAGGAATCAGAAAGGTGGAATAACTCTTTTTTTCACTTTTACCCGATGTATTCCAGCATCCAGCTGCCATGCACGTGGGCATTGTCAGTTTCACTATAGCTCTGGTGAATTTCAATGGTGAAGTCCTCTGGAAATCTTCAATAATTGTTGTTGATTGCAGATGTGTCTAGTAGTTCCCATTGATTTAGCTTGGAAAGCGGGGAGAATGGCGCTAGGCTTACCGCACCGTGACGTCACTGCTGGAAGATGGCAGGAGGGAGGGGCTACTAGATTTGGGCTAAAATGGCCGCTCCCAGACTCAGTGATCGTGATGAAAATGATTGTTTTCATTTTTTTTACTGATTAACACTAAATTAATAAAATTACTGCGAACATCTTAGTTTCAGGTATAAATAATGATCCGATGATTATTCCTGATAAACAGACTTTTCCTTTAAATGTAACCAAGTAGCACTAAATTGGTGACTTAGAAACGACGCTGTCAAGGAACGCTATGGACAGCGGAAACATGCAAGAGGAGGAGAGTTTAGTGTCGGAGGTCGTGGATGAGTCTCCTCCGTCATCCATTTTTTATTTAGAGGAGGAAAGCGGGGACGAAGATGTTGTGGAAGAGGACGCCAGGGCGGCAGAAGCTTGGTTTGGTGTAGAAGGCTTCCAGCCGTACATGTTTGAGCCCTTGCCTCGCAACGCTGCCAGTTCTGTTAGCTCTACGCCTGCCGAAGACACAGACGTCCATCCCCGTGAACACTGGGACGCAACTCAATGGGAAAGGAAAGGATTCTGATTTCAACCGTTGCGTATATTAGCTGCGACACATGAATCAAGATGCTATGACCGAAAACATTTGATTGACAGATGACCATTGATATATGATTGGCCGAAATTAGGTGTTCAGGCTGACGTAGAACTAACTGGCCTGCAGAGGATATTCGACAAAACACAGATTTTAAGACAGGATTTTTTTAAGATAGAAATTTTCTAACTTTCGGGACAATATGGTCTGATAAAGATTTATTTACATGTTTAAACCAGAATGATTTGACATTTAAATATTATTTCCCTACGACTCTAAATGTAAATTGTCTTGTTTCATTAGCAACGTGTCTCATTGCTAATGAAACTTACCTCCTTATTTTAAGTAAAAATTACTTTTGTGTCGGACGGATGAGGTCATCGCCGAGCGCACCCAGAACGGGTCCACTGGTTCCAGCAGATCCAGACAGAACCCAGGAATCCAAACCCAGCTCTGCCTGGACCTGGACCTGGACCTGGACCTGCAGAGCGGTTCTCACTAACCGACTCAGGATGCATTAGAAAGGAAGCAGAAGGAAACCCAGAACCCACTTTGGTAGAAGATGTTCCAGCAGAACCTCCACAAACTGAACAAAGTCCTACCTGGTAGCTGAGATGATGTTTGACGGGGAAGCCAAAGTACCTCTCAGATCCGGCGGATCCTGTGGGAGTCCAACAGAACCTCATAAAATCATTCAGTTCAGTTTTTCCTCTCAAACCATCAACTTCAACAACAGGAACTAAAAACATGAAATCTGTAATTTCTGCAGCTTCTGGTTCTCTGAACCATGAACCTCTCAGTGAGCCAGAAGATCTGGGAGCTTTAATTTGAAAGTCCAGGTCAGAACTGCTTCCTGTTAGTTTCTAACATGAGCAACAGCCTGCAGTCTGCAGAACCTTAAACCTGGTTCTAAACGGCGTCTCCATCTGACCTGAGAGCCAATCAGCTAATCTGCAGCTTGTGACATCATCAATCAGAGCGAGAGCGTCTGAAAGAAATGATGATGTGAAACCAGGGGACGGGTCCGACTTGCTGCGACCCGTTAGCCTTCAGGTTCTGGTGCTGCTCGCCCTCCCAGTTCCAAACTGGGAGGAAGAAAAACTTATTTCCTCCTCTGATTCTTTCATTTTCCTCACTTCCTGTTCCTGCTTGAGGTGTTTGGTTGTGTTAGCAGCTGCTGAGGCTCCTCCTCACCATAGAGCCTCCAGTTAGTGATTGGAGCCACGGCGACGCCACATTTGATCTGTGAGCTGTGAGACAGGAGCAGGAGGGAGGACAGGAACCCCCCATACGCCTAAAAACAGATCAAAAAACATCAGTTTAGAACAAAGAACCATTAAAGGTTCTGATTACCTCAGGATGTTCCTCACCTTCCCATAAACTCCAACTCTGCTGCCGTCAACGAAGGGAAGTGTCACCAGCTGCCTGAGAACGAAATGATAGATGAGAAATTATTAGTAGACAGAAAGGAAGAACCTAAGAACGAGCCTGACATCACTGCTGGGAAGCTGCAGCACCCTGGGAGCAGAGAACATGCTGAGAACACGCAGAGAACAGGCAGAGAACCGGCTGAGAACACGCAGAGAACAG